CTTTTATATCAGTAGCATTTCAAACACTCACACACCTACGAAACCAGGCAGCTTGTCTCTTTGCCAGCAGGTTTACCCACCCCCACATGGGGCTTCCAAGTTCTCATCTCACCCACCTGGTAGCCACCCAGTGAGGCCACCACTGTCAGCACATCAGCTTGGGAAAAGCTAAGACTAATTGATGATCAAATCTGGGAGATGAAGGCAAGCTTTCTGTGCCAAGGTGGGTGCCAAATTCCATCTTTGTGGGGGCATAAGGGGGCGGGGAGGTATGGGAACACATAATTTTGTTCCTTTTAGTCTGTGAAAACATATAGGGCCAGACATGGCAAGATTTGACCTCCTTGGAAGTAGCTTCATACCATAGGTCTTAAATATTGCACAATGGCCAGCCTGTGTGGTTCAGTTGGTTGAGTGTCATCCCATGTACCAAGAGGTCACCCATTTGAGCCTGGCCAGTGTGATTCAATGGTTCAGCATCAACCTATGAACCAGGAGGACACAATTCGATTCCCAGGAAGGGCACATGCCTGGGTTGTGGGCTCAATCCCCAGCAGAGGGCATGCAGGAGGTAGCCAACCAATGATTCTCTTTCATCATTAATGTTTCTATCTCTTTCTCCCTTGCTCTTCCTCTCTGAAATCAATATATATAACATGTTTTGTTTATAAAAGAGGTCACCAGTTTGATTCCCAGTCAGGGCACATGCCCAGGTTGGGAGCACAATCCACAGTAGAGGGCAGGCAGGAGGAAGTTGATTAATGATGTTTCTCTCTCATTGATGTCTCCCCAACCCCCCTCCCTTTCTCTCTAAAAGCAATAAAATATATATTTAAAAAATATATTACACAATGAAGTGGGCAGATATCTTCAAGGTGTGAGCAAACAAACACAAAATCAGCATCATCAGGTAAGAATCAGCGGGAGCCTGTCAGAACCAAAAATGTAATCGGCATGGCCCAGATACATGGCTCCAAGAATGCAGGAAGCCCCAAACACCTTCTTTTTTTCTGCTGTTCACAGCAAAAATATATATACTTTTTAAGCTTTGATTTTTTCCATGACCTAAGCAAAAAAACACACACACACACACACATATACACACACACACACACACACACACACACACACACACACACACTACACATAGTACAGGGAAAAATACACCAAGTTCCATAGACCAGTGTTCTTTCATCTGTAACATGCAGGAAGAATTGGTAACCATTTTGGTAGGAAAATCACTTGAAATATGTTATGAGAGATTTTGGAGGCTTAAAATTCTGTGTCTATTATAAACAAAGTAACCACATCTACATGAAACACTCTTACTAATTTGATAAGTTGGTTCAGGCTTAGTGCTAAAGGTTCTTAGACCAAGACCAGTAGCCTCTGTCATGCATGTATTTTTCATCTCCTATTTGTTGAGCACACACTTTGTACTGTTTATTCTGGGGAGAGGGGGTTATAGGGCAAAGAAGTGGGGATGGCAAGAATGATAGAAAAGTAGCTATGATACCTCACGATTGAAGAGTTTACAGATCTGGTCATCTTGAAAAACTAAATTCCCTGCTTGAAGTAACAGAATAACCCAACTGAGTTTAACCAAAATTGCTGCATCAATTGGAACTGATCAGGGTATAAGCTAGGAGGGTGCAGAAAACTCCTTATTTCGTGGGAATTACAGAGCTGACTGGATATAAGTGGTCCATGGATGAAGATACAAAACTGAAGTAATTTGCCCAAAGACATGCAGATAATTTCAGCACAGAGCCATGTCTAGGTCTCCTGGGCTCCAGGCCAGTAAGACTCCTGCCCAGCCCCACAGAGACCCTGCTCCAGATACAGGGTGTTTACACTGTGAGGAGACAAAGACAGCCCACAACTCCCATCCAACTGTCAGCAGACAGATATTGGCCATCCCGTTCCGTGAGCAGAAGCTCTGTACTTGTCACAGGGGAGCAACTGGAAGATACAACTTCTTGTGGAATCAATTTAAGTGCCCTCTCACCATAGACGGCAGCCATTAAAGTAGGATTATGAAAGCAAAGCCACAAGAAAAGACTTGTTAAATTTAAAATTCAAAACATAAACATACGGTAACTATGGAACGAACAATACACAAGGGGAAAGGCAGTAAGTAGCAAAGCGCACAAACGTGTTCATGATTTACAGGGTTGGCATCTTTTCAACTTGGGCACTTTTTAGTCTTCATTATTTCCTCTGTATTCTCTATAAGCCAGATACCCTCCCACAGTCTTGAACTACATATATATATATATATATATATATATATATATATATATATATATATATATATATATATGTTACTGTTTGACTACATCCGTGCAAAAGAGACAAAATGCCAATGGTAGGTGGACAGAGGGCAAAGGGCATGTGAGTAGGGACAAGTGTGAAAGTTGAGTGGAATACCAGCCACAAATAGGTGCGTGTGGGTCGAGGCTGCAGCATGAGTAACCCTAAGTTGTGCTGTTCAGTCAGTTACATCCCCATTTGCAGCTTTTTGCTTGGTTGTCTTATTTTGAGCAACTAATCTTTTCAAACCTCAGTTTCCTTGCCTTTTCAAGGCAGATATGTATAGGACCTTCCTCATAGGGATGCAATGCAGATTAAGAAAGAATGATGCAAATAAAATGCTTAGTCTAGTGACTGGCAGAAAATGGGAGCCAGTAAATGTTAACTGTCATGATGGTGGTGACAGAGATGGTTAATATTAGAGTGATTATTTTTTATTATCATTGCTATCATTATTATTATTATTATTATTATTATTATTATTATGACAATCATTATGATGATGATGATGTTCCTGACATGGTGTTTAACACTATAACTAAGAAGCCATTAAGTTTCCTTGCTTTGAAAAATCACCCAGTATTCTCTATATGTCTCATTGCTGGACTCTCACTTATCTGATCTCCTTTATTTAAAATTTCTTTATTGATTAAGATATTATATATGTGTCCTCATCCCCCATTACCCTCCCAACCCCCTGTTCACTGATGCCCTCACCCTGCTGGTGTCTGTGTCCATTGGTTAGGCTTATATGCATGTATGCAAGTCCTTTGGTTCATCTCATCCCCATCCTCCCCTACCTTTCCTCTGAGGTTTGACAGTCTGATCAATGCTTCTCTATCTCTCGATCTGTTTTTGTTCATCAGTTTATGTTGTTCATTATATTCCATAAATGAGTGAGATTATGTGATATTTATCTTTCTCTGACTTGCTTATTCCACTTAGCATAATGCTCTCCAATTTCATTCATGCTGTTGCAAATGGTAAGAATTCCTTCTTCTTTACAGCAGCATAGTATTCTATTGTGTAGTTTTTTAATCCACTCATCTGCTGATGGGCATTTAGTCTGTTTCCAAATCTTAGCTATGGTGAATTGTGCTTCTATGAACATAGGAAAGCATATCTCCTTTCTGATTGATTGGTGTTTCTAGCTTCTTGGGATATATTCCTAGAAGTGGGATCACAGGGTCAAATGGGAATTCCATTTTTAGTTTTTTTAAGGAAACTCCATACTGTTCTCCACAGTGGCTGTACCAGTCTGCATTCCCACCAGCAGTGCCAAAGGGTTCCTTTTATCTCCTTATACTTCAGGTTTATTAATAGCAGACTCTTAAGTTGAAGTAACAGCTCACATACCACCCAATACTCCCTGAGGGGGTAACAATGATGATAGCAAACAGATTGCTACTTGTTTTCTTGGACCTAATTAGGATAGTACAATATCACCCTTTTAAATAATACAAGGAGCAAAGAATCTTGGTAGACATCTACAGAACATGGCTTTGTACTTGAAACACATAATTAGCACTAATAAACACGGATGCTAATAACTCAATCTGCTCTTTAGACAAGAAACCGGAAGGTAAACATGGCCCTGGCCCCATCAGCTCACAATCTCAGAGATCTTCCTTTGAAAGCAGCCTTCCCTCACCCTTCCAATGCAAGGTGGGAGGTCTGCTTGCAAGCAGAAGGCCTCTGGGCTGGGCGCTGAAAGCCCACGCCTGGGAGATTACTCAGCAGACCAGGCTCAGGTCCCTGCAGCCTCAAAAAGACATTCCTTCGTTTTAGCAGCCTGACCTCAGAAAAACTGATCCCATATTCCATTTTCTCACTAGGAGAAGGAGACGTGCCTAACCACCGAACCTGGTCAGCCTGTGTAGGAAGCACCATACCTACACCAAAAGGGCAAAGTGAAGTAAAAAGCAGCCATCAGTGAAACACAACTTTAAAGGTGCCTGCATCGATGTCGTTGCCCCTTCTCTGTGAGATTAACATTCTCATCCTATTTCGGATGAGGAGATATTTTCTAATCCTTAATATTTAAATGTCTAATAATGAATGCTCAATAATCAGTGCAGACACGAAGTAAAGTTAGCGATATATTTAACTTGACAGACACTTTTGAGCATCACTTCCTACCTACTCCCCAGATAGTCTCATACCTGAGAAGATTACTCTAGAATAGGGGTGTCGAACTCAATCAGAGAAGGGGCCAAAATCTAAAATCCAGCCTAAATCGCGGGCCGAATGGTTTACTGAACAGTCATAAACTGTCATTGTGATGGAAACGCAGCAGAGTGCAGTGATGACAGCGCGGTGCGGGCCACATTGCAAGGCCTGGCGGGACGGATTTGGCCCGCGGGCCTTGTGTTTGACACATGTGCTCTAGAAGGTTCTCTTCTAATTGACCAAATTAGGAAAGTCTTTGATCCACGGATAATCCCCTGAGCTTGACTCCCTCCTTGGGTTCACCAGAAATGGAAATAAAGCCAAGCCAGGCTTTGAAATGCTAGGGCCACAGGGAGCAGGGGAGGGTTAGGATGGGAGAGAAGGCCTGGCACGTTACCAAGGCAACAGACTAAAGACAGAGTCCCAGACATTCAAGAGGGCACATGGGCCCCCCGACAACCTGCTCCAAAGCTTCCAAATGAAACACTGAGGTCATCTGTAACGGCTTCAACTCTTACCTTGAGAGAGAGTGAGGTGTCGGCCTCCAGCAGTGCAGAGGTCTGTGCCCAAAGGAAGTCGCCGCCAGTCTATCAACGATAAAAAGATAAGGTATGAGGCAGTGCTGGCGATGAATTCGATTCCTGAACAACTGGAATGCTTCCTCGCAAAAGGCAGGTGTCCAGATGTTTGAGGACTTTGCAGAGTCCAACAGCAGCAATATAACCAATTGAACAATATCAAATGCATGAAATCCTCGGAATCAAGTCAGAGACTGCTGTTAAGACAGAGTGAGCTAACATTCTATTACCACGCACCTGGGCCCTAACTAATTGGGAATGGTAATAATTGGTGAAATCATATGATATACCTCATCACGTCCCTCCACAAAAATGACTGATTAGCAAGGATCTGGCAGAACTCTGTATAACACTGACCTACATTAGGGTATGTTGGCAAGTCAACACATTCACACATTCAACACACCTCCAACAATGCAGATTCTATGCTGTTGAACCAACCTGCTTTGGAAGGCAGCCCTACCAGCTGACGAAATAATGAAAACATGAGGCTTGAATCTGATGAAGAGGTGAGAGGAAACTGGAAACTTTTTCTACATGCACTCAAATAAGCAAATGGAAAAAACAAATAAAAATTATGCCCAAATTTTAAAAATTATATTATATATTTATATTGCTGTGATGGTTAATTTTTTTATTGATTTTTAGAGATAGAGGAAGGGAGATGAAGAGAGAGAAACATCAGTGTGAGAGTGAAATATTGATCAGCTGCCTCTTGCATGTCCTCCAATGGGGATCCAGCCAGCAACCCAGGCATGTGCCCTGACCAGCAATTAATCAGGTAACCCTTCAGTACACGGAACAATGCCCAACCAACTGAGCCACACCAACCAGGGCTGTGATGGTTAATTGTATGTGTTTATTCAACTTGGCTTGGCTATGGTACCCACCTGTTTGGCAAACACATCTATATATTGCTGTAAAGATATTTCTTAGATGTGATTAACTACCTTGAGTAAAGCAGATGACCCGTCATAATATGGGTGGTTCTCATCAAATCAGCTAAGGCCTTAAGAGTAAATACTGAGGTTCGTCTGAGTCTCCAGCCTGCTAGTCTGCCCTGCAAATTTCAAACCTGCCAGCCTCCACACTCATGTGAGTCAATTCCTTAAAATAAACATTCTCTCTCTCTCTCTCTCTTCCTCTCTCTCTCTCTCCCTTTCTCTCATATGTGTGTGTACATATACAGATACATATACATATACTTACATATATACATATATATAGTATGTGTTTGTTTTTTCCATTTGCTTATTTAAGTGCATGTATGTGCACATATACACACGTGTGTGTGTGTGTGTGTGTGTGTGTGTGTATGAGCATACATATACACCATTTAATGTCAAAAAAGTACAAGCTGGCTTATAATATATGTATAGTACGTAAAGAAGATAGCATTTTTAAAAAGGGGCTACAGCCGGGACCGGTTTGGCTCAGTGGATAGAGCGTCGGCCTGCGGACTGAAGGGTCCCGGGTTCAATTCCGGGCAAGGGCATGTACCTTGGTTGCGGGCACATCCCCAGTGGGGGGGTGTGCAAGAGGCAGCTGATCGATGATTCTCTCTCATCGATGTTTCTAACTTTCTATCCCTCTCTCTTCATCTCTGTGAAAAATCAATAAAATATATTTAAAAAATAAAATAAAATAAATAAAAAATAAAAATAAATAAAAAGGGGCTACAAGAGTATGTATAAATGTTGGCTCACAGAAATGTATGCTATAAAGTAGTAAGCTGTTACTTGACATGATTATAAATTGGGCTCTGAGCATCCTAGTGGCTAAAGCAAAGAAGAAAATGGACACAAGATAATCACATTGACTTTAAAATAATATACAATGTACATATTGCCTAAGGATGTCAGTTTTTTCTTATCATTGAGGAATTTCTCCCAAGGTGTCTCTTCCTTGGGTAAATTCTTAAACTATCCTTTATCATCCATATTGGGAGGTGTGTATGTGGGGGGAGGATAATAATTAATAGCGCCTCTAAGTGTACACAGTAGGGAGTCTCCTATAAAGCTTCTTTTTGCTCCCTCAGGGCCAGAAACAAAGCCAAAATGGGGTCCAAGCACACAGCAGTTGGCTGGATCCAGGGATAAAATGGAGAATGAACTCCATATCCTATGAGATATTTCCCAGAAATATGATCATTTCTCCCAGCAAAAATCTGAGTGGGAATCAGGCTACAACTTCCTGAGACTTTGGTCTCTGCCACAGCCTGGAGTGCAGGTTTTATCTGCTGCTGTGTAGGGGCAGATGTCAGAAATACTGCCCCCAGGCCAAGGACCTGGAAGGCAGCAGGTATTAAAGTATCAGGACTAAAAACAAAGATGGCGGCGTAGGTAAACACTCCTAAACAGCTGCTGTGTACAACAATTTAAAAAAAAACACTATAAAAACAAAACGTGTATCTCCCAAAAACCAAGGGAATGCTGGCTGAGAGGAAGCCCTACAACTAGACTGAAAGAGAAAAAGGAGAATCCAGGGCAAAAGTGCTGAAAAACTGAAGTTGGGGGGGAGAGGGGCGCGAATGCCATACTGGCTGGCGGCAGATCCTGGCTGGCGGAGGGCAATGCTTTCTTCAACCTGAAGAGAGACAAGCTCCAGATCTCTCTGAAATCCAGTTTCTGGGGGGAGGCTAGCATGTCTGCCATCAGAAAGTGAGGCTGGCTTGCTTGCAGAGCTGAGATTGTTTGCTGTGCTGTGGTGTGAGACTCGGGGAGACTCAGTGACTCGGGGATGCCGGGACACCATGGGAGAGGCAGTGGTCGGGCAACCATCGCTTTTGGCCAGGCCCCGGCCTAGTGAAGCCCTGATACTCTGCACTGAGACTCTGCTCTGCAAAACCTACAAACACGCCCAAGCTCCAAGCAGTGGCTTTTGCATATGAATGGCCCTCTCTGTTGCAGTTTAGCAAAATTGCAACCTGGGGCAAACAGATCCAAGGAAGACAGGACTATGGTTCACACAGTACTCCTGCAACAATACTGGCCTCAGGCAGTAGCTGAACTGCACCTCATTGAGACCCAGAAACCAGAGTTCAAGTGCTCAGTTTCAATCCCTCACACCCATAAGTGACACATTCAGGAGATGGTCTCAGTGAGCACCAAAGCCCCACTGAAACAAGGCGTGTCTCCAGCACAGCAGTTCTTCCTTTATGGACATAGCAGGTCCTCACAGACAATCGGCCTGGAGGTCAATTCCTCCCAGTGAACCAACAGCAATCAAGGCTTAATTACACCAAGACTTTGCACTAAGCCCACAAAGGGATATAGCAAAAACGACCACTTTAGGTGATTGGGGAAGCTGAGCTACTGGCCCCTATAGGTCACCAACCACACAAAGCTACTTCATCAATACAGGGAGGCAGCCAAAATGAGTATTCACCAAAGCATGACATAAATGGGAGAGATGGAGGAGAGTAAATTACTGGACGACACACAGTTCAGAATCACATTTATAAGATTACTCAAGAATCTTCTAAAAACCTTTGAGAAACTTGATGAGACCTCCAAGAAGCTTTGTGAGACCTTCAATGACCTTAATGAGAATACCAAAAAAATGGAAAAGGACCAGCCAGAAATTAAGCATACAAAGTCTGAAATAAAGAGTATACAGAAACTCAACTATAGATCAACATGCCCTAAGAATCAGACCAAAGATCTGAAATATTAGAAAGCAAAAATCACCCAACCAGAGAGGCAAAAAGAAAGAAGAATCCAAAAGTGTGAGGATAGTGTAAGGAACCTCCGGGACGGCTTAAAGTGTACCAACATCCAGATTTTTGGGGTGCCAGAAGAAGAGAGAGAGAGAGCAGGATATTGAAGGCTTAATGGAAGAAATAATGACAGAAAACTTTCTCTACCTGGTGAAAGAAATAGACTTACAACTTCAGGAAGCGCACAGGACCCCAAACAAGAGGAATCCAAAGAGGAACACACCAAGACATATCATAATTAAAATGTCAAGAGCAAAAGACAAAGAGAAAATCTTACAAGCAGCAAGAGAAAAACAACTAGTTACCTACAAGGGAATACCCATACGTCTGTCAGCTGATTTCTCAACAGAAACTATGCAGGCCAGAAGGGAGTGGCAAGAAATATTCAAAATTATGAACAACAAGAATTTACAACCAAGATTACTCTACCCAGCAAAGCTATCATTCAGAATTAAAGGTCAGATAAAGAGCTTCACAGACAAGAAAAAGTTAAAGGAATTCATCAACACCAAACCAGGATTACATTAAATGTTGAAGGGTATTCTTTAAGAAGAGGAAGAAGAAAAAGGTAAAGGTAAAAAATTATGAACAATAAAAAGGCATCAAATACATACCTACCAACAAGTGAATCTAAAAATCAAGAGAATAAAAAAAAAATCTGAAGAACAAAATGGACTGGTGAATATAATAGAATCAGGGACATAGAAAGGGATTGGACTAACAATTCACAGGGGGGAAAGGGGTCTGAGGGGTAACGGAAAGAGATTGGACAAAAATCTTACACCTATGGAAGAAGACAGTGGTGGGGGTAAGGGCATGGGGTGGGGTTGGGAATCAGGTGGAGGGGAGCTATTGGCGGGGGGGAGAGGAACACCTGTAATAATCTGAACAATAAAGATTTTTTTTTTTTTTTAAGAAAAGAAATACTGCCCTCAGAAGGTTTATAAGTTCAGGTTTAAGTGTATGTTTGCATGTAGAAGCCATATACTCTTCCTGCTTTGGAATTAATTTTTTAAAAATGTTTTCATATGGCATAACATAAAATTCTCCATTTAACATTTTAAGAGTACAGTTAAGTGGCATTAAGCACATTCACAATGTTCTGCAACTATAACCACTATCCATTTCCAGAAAATTTTTATCCTCTCAAACAGAATCTCTGTACCCATTAAACAGTAAGTCCCCGTTACCCCCTTCCCACAGCCCCTGATAACTACTATTCTACTTTCTGTCTCTATGACTTTCCCTATTTGATGGACCTCATATAAATGGAACCACATATTTATTCTTC